GCAAGACCAAGTGATCAAGGAACTTATACAGTTCGTGCAGCAAATCCATTTGGTAATGATGAAACTACTGCTAAACTAACGATTCGACCAGCAACATCAGCTGATGCTCTCCCATCGGCAACACCAAAACCAGTCGAAGTCAAAGCACCTATTCCAACCAAAGAAGAAATGCAACAAATACAACCACCAAAAGTGATTGTACCATTGGAAAATGCAGAAACTACAAAAGGATCACCAGTTCTTCTTCGAGCAACTATTATTGGAACACCAACACCAAACGTAAGATCTTACTTGTAAGGAAAAATACTTTGATGAGTGTTTGATATTTTTTAGTTTGTTTGGTTGAAAGATGGTAAACCGTTGATGACATCTAATCGTATTCGTACTCGTTATGATGCTCCTACTAAAGAAGTTGTACTACAAATAACTGACGTTCGTCCAGAAGATGTGGGTCAATATTTGGTTGTAGCCACCAATCCAGCAGGTCAAGACTCGACAGGTGCTAAACTTAGTATTATACCAGAGAAACCACCTGGTGCTGATGATCATGCAAAAGTACCAACTGATAAAAATCGTATTAAGAATCAACCTGAAGGTCAAACACCACGACCATTAAAACTTTTACCTCCTACTCAATTGCCATTATCGACTTCACCAGATAAATTACGTAAATTAAATCATGTTTCACCAACAGCAAAACCAGAGAAAGCAGAAGCACCAGAGAAAATTCGACCACCACGTGTTATTGTACCATTAAGTGATACTGATTTAGAAGAACTTATGCCTGTGTTACTTACAGCTAAAATTGATGCTGGTGTTCCAATGGCATCAGTAAGTATTTTTCTCAATTAAAAATAAAGTTCTTTTGTTGCGAGAATTTTTATTGAAAAATTTAAATGAATAGATTTTTTTACAAAGTATTATTTCATTTTTAGTTTACATGGTTTAAAGATGGTCAACCACTTGTTGCAGCTACTCGTTTCACTACGAAATACGATATTGGTAATCAAACAATTACATTACAAATTCTTGCTTCACGTCCTGATGATCAAGGAGTCTATACTGTTCGAGCTACAAATCCAGCTGGTAGTGATGAAACAACATGTAAATTAAATATTCGACCTGTATCATCAATTGATACACGACCATTTATTGATGCTGATCGTTTTCGTCCATTGGAAAATCGACCAGCAACAGCTGACAATCTTGGCGATAATAAACAACCACTTCGTCCACCTAAAGTTCTTATACCAATGAATAATCTTAGTCTTACAGAATATCAACCGATTGTATTAAAAAGTATTATTGACGGTGGTTTTCCAATGGGTAAATTTAATTGGCTTAAAGATGGTCAACCTTTACCTGCATCAAATCGATATCGTGCTAATTATGATATACATACACGTACAGCATCTTTATTAATTGATGCTGCACGTCCAGCAACAGATACTGGTCGATATACAGTTCATGTCGAAAATCCTGTTGGTAAAGATCAAACAACGGGTGAAGTTAATGTTGAAGGTACTCCCGGTATTGATGATCGTCCATTTATTGAACCAAGTAAATTCGGTAAATTTGATGGACCTTTACGTACAGCAGGTAGTGGTCCTCGAGGACCAATTCTTCAACCTGATGAAACGATGAGAGATCGTGAAAATCAACCACCATGGATTCGTCTTGTTAAAGGTCTTGAAGATCAACTCATTGATGAAAGCAAAGCAGCACAACTTGCTTGTATTATTGATGCACATCCAGCAGCAACTGTAAATAAATATTTTTTTTTGTTGTTGTTATTTGCTTTGAATTAATTATAAAATATAATTTCTTATAGATCAATTGGTTAAAAGATGGACAACCACTTATTGTATCTCAACGTTTTATGCCTGAATACGATCAGAAAAATGGTGTTGTTCGTTTATCTATTTATCCTGTTTATGCAGCTGATTCTGGACCATATACAATGGTGGCTCGAAATATTGCTGGAGAAGTTTCAACAAAATGTACATTACGTATTCAACCAACAGCTAATGTTGAAGAAAATCCACTTGTTAAATTTGCTGGTCTTAGAAAAGTACCACAACAACCATCTACAGCTGGCACTGAACCTTCACATAAACCCGTTGTTTCTGATGAAGGACAAAAACCATATTTCATTAAAGTTCCAGTTGATCGAGTTGTACCTGAAGGCCAATTAGTTCGTTTAGATTATATACCAGCTGGACGTCCTGAACCAAGTTTAACATGGTATCGTAATGGTATACCATTGAATCCAAATGATGCTGATCATCGTGATGTTGTTAATGAAGGTGGTGTTCATTCATTACTTATACTTAATCCTAAATTAGGACCAGTTGTTGAATATACATGTGTAGCAAAAAATAAATATGGTGAAGCACCATTTACTGTTCGTGTTGGTGTTGCTGGTATGTCATTATTTTTTTAGTATACAAAATAAAATAAAACTTATGAACATATATTTAGAACGTGGTTCAAATATTGCTCCTTATTTTGTCGAACAACTTTATGATATTATTATTATTGAAGGTCAGGATGCACAACTAGATGCAACTGCAGAAGGTTTTCCTGAACCAAAAGTCTCGTGGGAGAAAGAGGGCAAACCTCTTACTCCAAATAAAGAATACAAGTAAACATTTTGTTTTACAAACCAAATTTTGTTTTAATATTTATTTGAATTATCTATATATCTAGAGTTGAATTTGAAGGAGCCAAAACTGCATTGCATATACATGCTGCTAAACTGACAGATGCTGGCTTGTATCAATGTACAGCAACTAGTCCTGCAGGAACAGCAATTACAAAATGCAGAGTAACAGTTATTCGTATGTATTCAATTAGAGATGAATGATAAAATAAATAATATATATCTTTTTTTTTTCGTCTAGCAATATCTGAAGCTGGTCAATATGCAAAAGATTTACCACAATTTGGACCTCAACTTCTATCTAAACTACCAACGTATGCATTATTAATTATATTCATTCATTCATTCATCTTCTATTCATATATTTTTAGTTTACCTCAAGAAGATATTCGATCGAAATATATGACTGTTCCAGTAAAACCTCCTGAAGTTAAACCAGAGGAATTATATAAATTACCAAAACGTCCAAAAAAATCAGATAATCCTCTTGAAGAAGCCAAAAGGTAATATATATATTATAAATTTGAATAACATGTCTCAAAATTTCATATTTCTTTTGTAATATATTAGACGAGGTGTAAAAGTCTTACCTGATGAAATTTTAAATGCTCTTCAAAAAGGTTTAGAAGAATATCCTGAAGAAGAAATGTATAGTAAAGATCGTCCACAACCACCGAAATTTAAAGTCCATCTTAAATCTCACTTAAACTTAAATGAAGATGATCATTGTCTATTCGAAGCTAAACTTATACCTGTTCGAGATCCAATGATGCGTGTACAATGGTTTAGAAATGGCAAAGTTCTTCATCATGGTAAATAGATAATTGGCTTCTAATTTTCATCTCTCTTTTCTTTTTAAAGCATCAAGAATGATTCCTCGATATAATTTTGCTGATGTATCACTTGAATTTCTTTACACATTTGCTGAAGATGATGGTATTTATGAATGTGTTGCAACAAATCCTTATGGTGAAGATCGTACACGTGCTGAATTAAAATGTCGTCCAAAACGATCAATTATTTATAATACACAATTACCCAAAGGTATGGAAGGTGTAGCAAAATTACAAATGTTAGAAGATGAAATAAAGTAAAATATCAATCAAAAACTTTATAAAAAAGAAACTATTCTAATTTTTTTAAATAGACATACAGCAAGTATGATTGGATTAGAAGAAAAAGTCCAAGAAAAAGAACCAAAAGCACCTGAATTTATTATGCCATTAGAAGATCTATCAGTTGATGAAGGTGATAATGCGAAATTTATTGCCAAAGTTGATGGACATCCACGTCCAAGAGTAACATGGTCAATTAATAATGGTGATGTTGCAAATGTAATGATTATTTTACTGTTTAGTTTTTGTTTATTTATTTATCTATTTCTTTGAATTTAAATCTAATAGGGAAGTCGATATAAATTAGTTTTTGATGGTCTTGTTCATTATCTTGATATACCAAGAACACGACAATATGATGCAGGTGTAATTCGTTGTGTAGCAAAAAATACTTTTGGACAATCTGAAAGTGTTGCAATACTTAATATTAAATTTCGTCAAGATTATCGTTCTGGTTTATCGAAAACACCGGGTGGTATTGAAACTGGTTTAGATGATTCATTTGATGTTGATATTGAAGAACGTTTGAGAACACGTGCACAAGCTCGACAACGTGAATCAGGTTTGTTTAGTAGTAATATCGAAATAAAAATTGAATTATTTGTTTTTTTATTTTCTAGTTGACGACCGAACATATCGTCCATTAACTGATAAACCAATACATCCATTACATTCAAAAGCTAACGCTGAAAAAATGTCATGGCGTCAAACTGTTGAAAAAGTGGGTGATGCACCAAACTTTACTAAATCATTATTACCATTAAAAGCTAAAGGTATGCAATTCGTATTTAATTTTATTTAAAAGAATTTAAATTTTTTTTCTGTTTTATATAGAGGGATCGAAAGTAGTTGTTGGTGTTGAATTTACTGGTGAACCAGCACCAACTGTATCATGGTATCGTGATGGATTTACAGTTGAAGATTCTGAAGATTTTAAAATTCGTACAACTGAAACTCAAAGTGTACTGACAATCAAACATGCATTTATTATTGATTCAGGTTTATATACTGTTAAATTATTTAATCCAATTGGTATTAAACAATGTCAAGCTGCTATACGTATAATGCCAAGTAAAATCGAATAATAATTATTATTATTTATTTCTATTGATTTTATTTGTATTTACTATTTATAGTTATTGCTGAAGATCAAACACCACGATTTCTTGATGTTCCACAAGATAGTGAAATTCTTGCCGGTGATCCAGTTCGTTTTCAATGTCGTGTTGAAGGTGAACCATTTCCAACAGTTGCCTTCTACCGAGTAAGATAAATGAAAAAAACAAAATTATTTTTATTTTCATTCTTTATTTAAATATTTTCTAGGAAGATGAACCAGTTAATCTTAATGATAGACGTTTTCGTGTTATACAAGAAGGTGATGTATTTACATTACTTGTATTCGAAGCTTTACCAGCTGATAGTGGTCAATATGAAGCAGTTGCTGAGAATGCAGTTGGAAAAGCGAATACACGTTTTACATTAACTGTAACATCACGAGAATCTGGTGGCAAGAAAGCATCAGTTGTTGATGATCCAAAATTAGTTCATAAAGTACCATATTTAGAAAAAGCATTAGAAGATTTACATGTTAAAGAAGGACAATCAGCAACATTCGAATGTATTATACCAGCTAGTTATGGTATGATATAATAAAAAAAACAAATATAAGAATATCTAAGTACTTTTTTTCTAAATAGGAACGGATGTAAAATGGTATAAAGGAACGTCAGAATGGCCAATAAAACCATCGAAATTTTTTAAACCAAAATCTGATGGTACTAAACATCAATTATTTATTTTAGAAGCATATGCTGAAGATGAAGGTATGATGTTATATAAGAAAAAAATTCATTGTTCTTATCATAATATTTAGGACTATATAAATGTGTTGTTTCAAATCCAGTTGGAACTACAGCTACTACTGCAACATTAAAAGTTGATCGTAAGTTATTGTTTTCTTTTTCTTTTATTTGAAATATATCTATTTTTGTCTTATTGAATAGATTTAATGCAAGTACCAGAATTTGTTCGGGCTTTTAGTAATTTAACTACATATGAAGGTGAACAAGTACGTTTTGATGTTGAAGTACGAGGTGATCCACCTCTAACTATATCATGGTTTCGTGATGGAGAAATTATACGAGATTCACCTGACTTCCAAGTAACAAAAATTTATTATTGTATTAGATAAAACATATTCTTTTTTTGTAAATTTTTATAATAGATATTTACTGAAGGAAATCGTAGTGTATTTTATATATCTGAAGTATTTATGGAAGATCAAGGTTTATTTACATGTACGGCTTCAAATTCAGCCGGTTCATCGGACTGTTCGGCTCGTCTAATTGTTGAACCACGACCACAACTTTAATAATATATAATACTTTATATCCCGTTTTTTTTATTCTCTCACTTCTTTTTTTTTCCTTTTTTTACACTTTTGTAATGCTTTGTTATATCACGTACAAATCGGTTGTTTTGTCTTCGTTTTTTGCACGCATACAAAATTTGCCGCCGTTCCCTGACAATGCGCTTTTTTCTAGAACAATATGAAATAAAAATTATGCTTTGGAAAAAAAAATGATTTTGCAAAACTAATTCACTTCTTTCTTTCTTACGATTGTATGGTAAATATGTATGTAGATGAATTGACTAGATAGATCCTCAAGATGTTCCTCGATCAACACTGCTACAGTTCAACTGATCCCAATAGCCTTTTGCATCCGCTTGAGATGTAACCTGTAATTAATTCTACAGGCAAAAACGTTTTCAATAGTTCAGTAATATCATTGAACGTATAGTGCGAGAGAAGCCAAAAATAGTACATATGTTTATTGAAGAAATGAGGAACAGAATGTGTCCAATGTAATAAATCAGTAGAATTGTAGAGCAAATGATTCATAAATTTATCAAAAATGCTTCTTTCAAGAAACCAACCATGACATTGTCCAACAAAAGTATCTCTAGATGGTAAAGCTGAATCAGGTATTCGCAAAGCTGCTCGACTGCCAACCATTTATGTATACCTGCATTTTCATAAAACATTTAGGGAGAAATGAAAAAATCGAGAAATACTTCAGTAAAGCTAGTTATTTTATGAATAAATGCTTCACAATCTAATGCGTCAATGAAATGACCTCAATTAATAGAAATCCTTTGTGTTTGTAGTTCTTGAGAAAATAGAGTTTAAAATTAATGTTCTGTGATCACTTTTACCGAACCATATAAAAATGAAGATGGACGAAATCACTACCACAATTACCGTGCATGCATTAGGACAGCTCGAGGAATTGATTCGTCAGTTTTAATATTAATAGCTGTTCTTAGTCGAGGAAAGATGTATAAGTTTTTATTTTATCTTTCTAATTGTATTTAAACTGTTTCTTTACGTTCTTTCCCCGTCTTTTTATGTATATTGACTGTCCTTCGCCATGCAAAGAGATCGATAATATGAATAGACAAGGTCTAAGCGCAAGAGACATGAAGGATAACATAATTTATATAAAAAATTAAAAAATGAAATATAAGAGGAATAGACGAACGAAAGATTTGAAGGATACATAAACATAACTTCTAGAATAAATATCTCTATGAACAATTGTATACGGAGCAAAATATGGTTGATATTTCAGAAAAATGTATTATCAATAGATCAGATTGTAGTAACATTTATCGATCAAGAAATTATTGCTCTTAATTTATTTCTCTTCTTTAATAACAAATTCTGTGTCATTATCCAAAATATCTTCATACAGTTTTACAGTCGAATGAAAATATAGGTAATAATTCAGTTTCATTTAGTTGCTGTTCAATACATGAATACATTGAAGTCATTAAAAGTTTTTACCAACAATAATACGCAAGCAAACTTTGTTTTTTTTTTGTAAGTTCAATATTCTAGAATCGACTGATCATTTATTTAAAAAGCTAAAAATAAAAAAAGTTTGTAAGATAAATTTGGCTTTCAATTTATATCATACCTCTATTAATATCATTGATATTTGACTTAAAATACCTAAAGTAAGGGTGTGGATGAGCAAGATACTCGCACTCACATTCTGCTTAGACAACAACTATAAAATATAATACAATCAAAGTCGATTACTTTTTCGGAAATCACATTTCTCGTCGTCGGAATGTTCTAGATGGATAAAAAAGAAAACTTCAAATCATGATTTTTATAAACAATCATATTAAATTCAGTCTCCAACATTTTATTTTTATATCCTTCCTTGGTAATTTTGTTATCATGAACATTTATTCTATTCACAAATGCCGTCTGCTATGACTTTGACAAAAACAGAACTAAATTCATTACTTTTATTTATCAAACATTTGAAATGTTGGATTCATTGCAACTGTTTTAATAAAAATATTTGTCATTATTTTCATGATTTTTAGTTTTCAGTTAAATATTTAACAAGTTCTGCTGTTAATTATTCGAAAAATCCTTGTTTTTGATCATTTTTATTGATGTAACTATTAAGAAAACGTAAAGATTCTTTTTTTTCCAAACTTATCTCTTACTTTTCATAGAGTTTCTTATAAAAAAATACCTTGAAAAGTTACTAAATGTTAAAAATCAAATTGAATTTTTCTGATATTTTAGAAAAACAACAGCATATTGTTAATCTAAGAAGAAAAAGATTTCTTTTTTCTCTTTTTATAAATTAACTCTAAGTATAGAACAATAAACGACTTCATGATGTATTACCCTAAATGTATTATGTTTTTCTAGGTTTTTTATTATAGAAGTATTGAATTTGGTGAAAATATTAATTATGGAACTCGACAACATCGAAACTTGTGATGTAATTTATTTATGCAAATAAAATAAAATAATTTTCATTATTTTAGGAGAAAAAAGCTGAACCAAATGCATCAGAAACATCGACTAATCGATTAAGATCTTTGTATGTATTTTTGTAATACAGAATCGAAATAATTGATTTATTTTAGATTGAAATATTTTGAAAAAAGAAAATTAATGTGGATCATTATTTTTCTTGTCATTCTTATTTTGATAATAATTATTCCAATTGTTATTGTTAAAACAAAAAAAGGTAATGTCACCTACCACTCAACAACAATGGCTATAATCACAACTGAAAATACGAAGGCAATTAATGAACTAACAACAGAAGGTAAAATTTACAGAACAAGTAGATAATCGATTTTTATTCTTTTATAACTTATTAACAAATCTATGACATGTTTTGATATTAGATTGATTGTTAAATTTAATTTCCACAAAAATAATTTTACTTTATTCTTAGAACAAATTCGACCAAAATACAAGAAGTGGAAACAAGAAGGAATTACTGTTGCTGGAGGAAATGGAAAAGGAAGTGGATTACATCAACTCGCTAATCCTACCAGCATGGCTTTTGACGAGAACGAAACTATTCTTATTGCTGATAAAGACAATCATCGTATTGTTGAATGGAAATATGGGTCGAACAGTGGTCAAATCATTGTAGATGGAAATAACGCAGAAGAAATAAAATATCATTTGCGTCTTCCAGAAGAGGTGATCGTCGACAAAAAAAATAATGCTTTGATCATTTATAGTTACGCTAACCAAGCAGTACTTCGATGGTTTCGTCAAAATCAAACCATTCAAGAACTTTTCGATTTGGATCCCAACCTTAATCCTATCGCAATGGATAAAAATGGATCTATTTATATTTCTGAATATGCAGAGGATCGAGTGAGACGATGGAAAGACGGAGATACAAATGAGGCGATAGTTGCAGGTGGAAATGGAAACGGAAAGGATCTCAATCAACTGTTTGCCCCTAAATTTATTTTTGTTGACGATGATTATTCTGTTTATGTATCAGATTGGGGAAATGATCGTGTGATGAAATGGGAAAAAGACGCAACACAAGGAATTATTATTGCCGATGGAACCAATAATTTTAATCAAATACCTTTTCCTGAAGGAATGATTGTTGATGATTTGCGTCATATCTACGCGGCAGATAATATTAATCATCGAGTGACACGTTGGTGTAAAGGAGATACACAAGGTTCAACTGTTGTTGGTGGAAATGGTCCAGGAGCAGAATCAAATCAATTGAATGGTCCCACTCGTTTATTATTTGATACTGAAGGAAATCTTTATGTTGCTGATTCAAATAATAATCGAATTCAAAAATTTGAATTAGTTTCTGATTAAATTTTTCTCTTTAATAAAAAGAATTATATGTCATTAGCAGTGCTGCCACCTCTTCTGCTTTTTAAATATTAGATCACTCATATTTGTAATCGATAAGTCTTATCTGAATGATTATTTTTCGAATTCAAAAAATAAACTTTTACCAGTAATTACTCATATTATTATATTGTCCTATTTCAACTTGAATTGTATATATCTTATGTTGCGCAGTGGCTGGTTGTTTTTCTTCATCATAATTTAGTACGCAGTTTTGAGTATTATATTCATTGTACACCCACACCCTCAATGATCTAAATAAGCAAATTATTTACAAAAGAATTTTTATTTGCGATGAAAACTAAACAACAATAAAGCAATAAATCGACATAGAAATAATATATTTTTCGAAGCTTAAATAAGTTTTGTTTGACAATTGAATAGATGAGATGAAAAAGACAGTAAGAATTCTTTAATAAAATACTTACGAACAAAATAAATGTTTTATATTTCTTATGAAATGCTGCGATGCAGTCTTCGTTGTAGAGTTTGTTTGCATCGATTAACAGTCTTATGAAATTCTTTCTTGTAAAATGTTGATGATAATATAAATATAACAAAAGTAAGCATTGATGGAATAAATGAAATAAAATATCCAACAAGAAATAGCCACGCTGAATCATTAGCTGATTTCATACATTTTGATACAAAAGAAATGATTAAACGTGGTATTGCAAGAGTAACTAATAACATTGGAGCAGTTAATAAATGCTTGTGTTCTTTAAATTGTTCTTGTAAATGATGACTAAAAGTTTGCTGAGTGTGGAGTTTTAACTGCCGATGCGCTTTCATTACTATGAGTGTAATAGACGAGACCAGATTGATTAGAAAGGGTCCAAAAAAATGCAGAATATGCATCACAGAATTAAATACTCGTATACTATGTGAATAAGTGGCAATACACCATATTCGCTTCTCATTATCATCATCATTTTCTTCCTCAATCACTTTTCGATGAATAGGATCATGTATAGATGTGCAAATATTAACAATTAAAATGATGACAATAACTAATTTAGCTATTTTTTTACTTTTTTTCTTATTGAAACCAGCACCTTGGATTACTGTATACGCTCGTTCAACAGCTACAAATGCATTTAACCATTGCTCTACGTTAAGACATATTCGTAGAAGAAAATCAAGTGAATAACATTGTAAAGATAAAAATAATCTATTTGACACATCTTCTACTTGTGAAAGAATAAGAATCCAAAATTTCAATCCAAACAGTATCGTTATAAGTAGTGCTGTAATTGATGAACTCAATAAATAAATTCCACAACCAACTGTTTGTATACTTTTATTCTTAAATGTAATTATAGAAAGAAGACTATTAATAATTCCTGCCACTATAAAGATTATAGTTAGTGCTACACTTGTTTTCACTATAATTGGTTGATGTGTAATACTAGTTTGTCGTTGAATATGATAACCTAAAATAGCATCAAGTGATAAACCAAATCCATCTGTACGAAACTGGCATAATCTTCCAAAAAAACATGCTTGACAAAGACACATTGATCTTTGTGGACAATCTGGTTTATCTTGAAAGCACCGACCTCCATTTTCACAGTCACTTGTTCCTGAACAATCCATAGTCATATCATGATGAAATTCAAAACAATTTGCTAAACGTTTTCCTTCGAAATCATAACATAAACAGAAATGAATATTATCATAAAAACAAGTGAAATTTGCTGAATAATTTTGACATATTAAATGATAATATTTTATTTGACGAAGTAGATGCCATTTAAGAATTGTTTGATTAAAAATTTCATTTATATGTGGACAACGATCAGATGATTTGATTGTTTTATTAATCATTGGCTCTTCTGAAAAGGATTGATTTCGAGCAATAATTAGATAATATTTATTCATAAAAACTTCAATAAAACTAATATCAAATGGTTGTGACCAATAGACGGTAAGTGAATCTTGTTTAATAGGTATCGTGACAAAAGTAGTTATTCTCTTCGGAAAATCTCCCCAATCAGTTAGAATAAAGTGCATAAATATTGATTGTGATAAAATAATATCGTTTTCAAATGATAGAAGAAGACTGTCTTCTTTGAACTGACAATAATTTCCCGTAAAGCCTTTTGGACATACACATTTAAGGTGTTGTTCGTATCCGATGTATTCATCCGGTGAAATACATAAGCCATTGTTTTTACATATTGAATTATCATTAATTTGACAAGCTGTATTCATGAGACATTGAGGACCAAATTTATTTGGACGACAAACACATATAGATCGTTTATCAGCAGAAATACCAATACATAATGAATCAGATGAACATGTACAATTATATGGAATGTTACAATATCGTCCGGTCCACCCTTTGTTACAGTAACAAAAAGTAATACTTCGATTGTTAAAATATCTCATACATTTACCATAAATACATTTATGATCTGAACATTTTTCAAAATTATCATTCTTTCGTGGAATGTCAACGATGAATGATAGACGATGAACAGGTAAGAATGAAAAATTAATTGGAAATAATAAACTTCCGCGAAATGTTAATGAAAACTTTTCATAGATATCAACGTGTATTGCATAATTTTTTGTTTGATTTTTTGGTCGCATTGAATAGAGTAAATAAACGTTAAATTTATTTCGGCAATCTCGAACTGATAAATAAGTAAACTGTTCATATGAATGAATAATTTGTTGATCATTATCATCGATAAGAAAAATAACTATTGCAAAAAATGTTTCCCAAGAGTCAGGCATTGCTCGAAATTTAACAGACAAAATTACTCGTTGATTTTGATATTGACATGTGTCACCATAAAAATTTGGTGGACAAAGACATGCTGATGAATAATTGGTATCATTTAACCAAACACGTAAATCGAGACCACGATGACAACGAGGTTGATATTGACGAGGCATTTCAATAATAAATGATCCTAAAAGTGCTTTGTTTTCGATAGTTTCTATCGGAGGCACATAGGGATCCTCTGGTTTAATCAATGTAAAATACACAATCAATGGATCATGCCACATCCTCTGTCTCAATGATTTACATAGAACTTTCTCGACATCTGTTTGTTCATGTGTATGCTTGTAATTACAGAAATCAACTACGATTTCACCCGATGAAGTACCTTCACAGAAGTTTTCATCATCCCCATAGTCACATTCAGCATTATTATTACATAACTCTTCTCCATTGATACACATTGTAAAATTATGTTTTATGCAATAAAAATTATCAGGATATGTGGTTTCATATTCTTTCCGACATAATATTGGTTCATCAGTACCACCAAGACAATCGACAATACCATTATTCGCTTTCTCAATTGATAAACACATAAGTTCATTCGTATCAGATGAAACACATATATGATTATTCAAAGGACAATCTAATTTTGGTGGTAAATCACAATTAAGTTCATCTTCACCATTAAGACAATTCCAAAAGTGATTACAACGAGTATAGATATTACTACATTCCCATTGTTGACATTCTGTTTCATCCGTTTCATTTCTTCCTTCAATACCTATTGGATATAATTCAGTATAACCATTACAAATAGTTTGAAATGATATATTCATTCGGATATATTTAATTATGTTATTGTCGTATTCGTTTGAAAAATTGTTAAAACTACCAAGTGGATATAGTGAATCCTCGTCATCACCTTGAGGACAATCATTTATACGATTATTAAGACGATGAATAGCAACACATTTGATTGAATTAATACACTGATACATATTTGGTCTCTTACAAAATGTTGAGGTATAATTGAAAACTTGATAGTATCCCCAAAGCTCTTCGTAGATATCAAACATATGTGGCGGCTGTGAAATATGGTTTGACTGACTAAAGTCTGGATCATTTTTATGATGATAACACGGTATGTTATTGATTAATATCTTTGGATCTGCAGCAAAATAATCATTGTAATAAGAATTATTGTAACATATATAGAGGTATTGTAGTCTCCCGTATAGGAAAATTTCCGTAGCATTTTTTTGATAGACAAAATAAATATGCCCAAATAAAACTGGCACAGTAGGAATGAACATCGTATCTGGGCATGTACGTTCAATAATTTTAATACATTCACTACCATTACAAATATTATTACAAGTTAGATCGTCATCTTTATAGATATACATCACACATTTGAATGCAGACCAACATTCATCAGTTGTTAATTTATCTTTACTAGAAAACATTGCTTGTATTAGTAAATGTTGACGTTGAAAAGTACAAGAACTTGTCAAACCTTCACGTAAACATGATATATCTTCACATCTAAATGATATAGTAAAACTACATTTATGATTGGCAATATGGTTTGCGTCCGCATAATCAGATCCATCAATGCAATCATAATTATCTTGTTCTAGATCACCATAAAATGATTGAGGAATGCAAAGGCCATTACTACATCGAAATTCATCTTCGTTACACTCGTTAATTTCAAGTTGCCAACAATCTTTTTCATCAAGACCACCATTAAGACAATCGATTACTCCATCACAAATTTCAGTCCAATCTAAACATGATGGGAAATTCCCACGATCACATTGCAAATGAGTATAACACGTCAAATTAGTCGGATGATATTCATAGTTTTTATAGAAATTATGAATAATTTGGTATAAAGAATAATCTTTTGAATAATAAGTTTCCAGTTGATATTGACACATAGGACCAAATCTAGGTAACGTACAGTTATAGAATACATCTATTGATATGTTTCGATCATGAGATGATTGATCCAAATAGAATTGATAACGTTCAATAATATCGATGGGTGCCGACCAAATATACAATTGCTCACTGCTTATATTTTGTTTCGATAGTTGAGCAAAAGTAAATTTTTGAAATAAACCATTGATTTCAATAGTAAATTTCGATGGTAATTCACCCATACAATAAGATGCAAGTGCACGAGTATTGTACACTTCATAAGAATAAGGATCAGCAACACGCAAACAATCATGTTGAAAATTATTGATATCATTCTCACTCTCACTTACCCAATTTGTATAATAAAGATTAAATTTCGGTGTACAATTATTTATATGTAAAAGTATAAAATAGAATAAATATTTCATACGAAGCATTTCTATTCTTGAAACATAATAAATAATTATATTATTCTCACTCTTTTTTTTAACAAAAGTCTTGATAAAAAATATGAGCGCATTTCTGATATTTAATATGATACACCTGTCGCTCAATTTTATTAAATGTAATTTAAAGGATTATATTTCATTAGAATTAGAGATTATTCCACTATTGTAATTTGTTGATGACTAATTATGATTTTTATGTAGTTTTTATAAAAAAATATATCAAGATGTCATGTTATAAAATCTCCGAAAAAAAGCATATGTGATATTATTTAATTATTTTGAGAAGAAATATAAAAACAGGGAGTTTCAAGCTTTTGTATCCTTATCTGTAACATATTGTCAGGAATGCTATTGTGAGAAAAGCCGTGAAGCAGGATGAGAGGCGTTAATATCAAGTGATGTTTTGTGACGTGGTGGTAAGGATGATGATGTATATTTTATTATTATTGGATTAAGATAAAGATAAAAGGAAGACGAAGAAGATGAATATGAAATAAACCATCTTGAGGGTGGGTGTGGGTATATCTATTTTCTTTTAATTCACACCCACACCCTCAAAATCCGATAGTTATCAATCTCTTCACATCAAAGATTATAATGTTTATTTGTAAAAATCGTCTTTCTAATTATATATTCCGCAAGAGCATGTTCTTTTAGGAGATTATTTAGTAATACTTGAAATAAAAATAACTTTGATACAACAGATACAACGAGTAAAAATAAACCCTTCATTTTCTTTTTGTTCGTTCTGCGTTATTTAATGTATTGATAAGAAAAGAGTATGGTAGTTCTTCGTGTGAAAAATGCCTAAACACGTTTTCAACATCGTCTACCTATACATAAATAAATAAATTGTATATATACGAAGATGGTACACTAGATTCAGGTAAATTGTGATTCATGTGTATTTTCGTCTATAAATACGATACAACGAACGTGTAATTGCAAAATATAAAAATACGGTTGTACTCAAGTATTGATTCAGTCGAAAAAATGCGCATATTATTTACTATTCTATTTTTAATTTCTTCAACTTTAATCTTAAGTATAAATGGTGGATTAAATCTTATTAATAAGATTATCATCTTTGGTGATTCACTTACTGATACTGGTAATGTATATAAGCTATCAAATTACACATGGCCAATTGTTCCACCTTATTATCAAGGAAGATTTTGTAATGGTCCTAATTGGGTTGATAGATTAAGTATAACAGACAAATCCAATTATGCATATGGTAGTGCAACAACAGATAATAATTTTGTTCAAGGTCTAACAAAATTAAATACACTTCTAGTACCAGGTATTCGACAACAAATTGCAATGTATTTCAATGATACTTCGAATAGTTCTATCGATTTTACACATACACTTTATATAATATGGGCTGCTGGAAATGATTTAATTTTCAATTCCAGTGTCACCATACCAAGTATTATGAATAGTTTAATGAATAGTGTTCGTGATTTACTTGCTGTTGGTGCTAAAAATATTCTTATTTTTAATCAACCACCTATTCAGTCATTTCCATATTTTAGTGTATTGAATCAAACTGCAAGTTTCAGTATGCTTACTATACAAGCAAATACTAATCTTCAAACAAGTATTGATGCAATACAAAAGAATTATACAAATAGTTCTATTCAAATATTTGATATCAATACACTTATAACAAAAGTTATTGCGAATCAATCAATACCATTTACAAATACTGTTGGTTACTGTTGGGATACATTAAATCTGACAACAGTTGCAATATTATGTGATAATCCATCAAAATATGTTTTTATTGACGATTTTCATTTTTCAAATACGACTCATCAATTGATTGCTGACAGTATCAATTCATTGCTATCATACAATGGATGTCTCAAAAAGGAAGAGTCTCTCAATATTCTACTGGTCTCTCAAATAATTCTTATTTTTTCTGCTATAATTTTATTTTGATTCATTTGTTTTCTTTTTTATTCTCTAAATTGTATTCTATTCGAACAAATGTTTTCTTTTCGAACGAATAAATTGAATCAATCAATGATACGAATACCAGTGATTCGTTTGACTTTATCTGTTGCCAAAATACTATTCGTAGTGTGTCAATATCTTCATCGTCTTCATTTTGCATGTTATGTTGAGTTAAATAAGGATTGGAGTGTACGTGCTAGGAGAGTTAAACCGAAGATGACGATTGTTATCAGCAATAGTGATATATTGATCGGATGTGGATGTAAGATAAACACGACACTCAAAGCTACACCCACACCCTATTTACTAATTATTATTTCAAGATATTCACATCAACAAAAATTCTATACACGAAAAGACATTTTTGTACAACTTATCATATAATAAGCCATTGTAAATATTAATATATTATACATATTCCTATTGATAATAGTTGGAATATCCTATTCTTTATTAATAACTGCCCGTGTACCTATTCTACTAACATGAACCATTCAGTCACAGCCAACACAAACATCTTCGACATTTCCATTCAAATTTGACATATAAAAACTTTCTGTTTCTCTCTTACCGTGATAGATGCCACCAAACCCTTAGGTCATGAGGACAAAAACAATTCTGCTTCTTTATTATGGGTATACATTTCCACAGTTCATCTAAAATGCTCTGTCAAAGATGCCTGTTAACAATAACCATGAAAAACCATCTGTTTCCTTTCTGAACCCTTTTATTTTAAGATATAACACAAGAACGTTTCTCAAAATCTCTCAGCTTGTCGTAAAACACGAAGGATAAAAATCTATTTTGAGTTAATTCTTGAAGGTACTCCTGCCATTTACATCCTACAAGACGATACGAGAGTTTGAGTGTAGTGAGTATCTATATGAAATAAGAAAGAGGATTCCGATGTCGATCAAGTTAGATTGGTTTTTTCCTCACTGTGTTCTTTTGTAATGCTTCACCAAGGTACTTTGCACCTTGAGCTCCTATTTGATTGTCGGAGAGGCTGAATGTAGTGAGTGTCTATATGAAATAAGAATGATGAATATGATCGAGATGAAGAGAGATCAATTTTTCTCTCACTTTGTTGTTTTGTAATGCTTGACCAAGATATAGTGCACCGTGAGCCGAGATATAATTGTAGGAGATGTCGAGTGTAATGAGTGTCTATATGAAACAAGAAAGACGAACATGATCAAGATGAGCACAAATTGATTTTTCTGTCACTGTGTTCTTTTGTAATGCTTCACCAAGATACTGTGCACCTGTGTCTCCTATTTGATTGTTCGAGAGGTTGAGTGTAGTGAGTGTCTGTATGAGTTGAAAAAGATAGACATGTTCTAGATGGATGGAGGTTGCTTTATCTCTCACTGTGTTCTTTTGTAATGTGTTACCAAGATACTTTGCACATTGATCTCCTATTTTATTGTGGGAGAGGTTGAGTGTAGTGAGTGTCTGTATGAAATAAGAAAAATGAATATGATCGAGATAAAGAGAAATTGTTATTCATCTGAACTTCATCATTCAGTTACAATTTTTTTTGTCTTTAAAGATTCAAAAAGAATTATTCTATTTGATATATTAAGGAAAATTTGCGTGCCTTGAATGAAGACAAAGGAAGTAAACTGAATCATGGAAACAATCATTTCTAGTGCATAACTTTTTCATTAACTAAATACTTTCCTCCTACATTCTATAGTGCGTTTATCTGTTTATAGCACTCCATCAATCACGATCTCGAGAGTGTTCAGCATTTTTAGAGCTTATCGAGAAAAGAAGCCAATTCGTTTCTGTTCGACTCTATTTTCCGTTTCAACTTGTGTAAAAAAAATAAAATAATATTGAAGTTAGCGTTTAGTCTATACAAAATCTTTCTTAAAAGTCTCTAATGAAGAACAATAAACTTTCTAGTTCTTGACTAGTTTTCATAATACAATAATATTACAAGATCCTCTAATTTTCGTGGATGTCTTACGAAAAAGAAATTCTTTTAAGTATTTTAATAAAAAACCACAATTATGATCAATCTTATTTAGAACAATATCTTGACGAACAAAAGTTGCCAAAGATAAAGAAATCAAATAGTTTCAAGTTTTACACCACGAATAATTAATTAATTAATCGATAAAAAAGATATATATTTCATTGACTGATTAAAGAAGACTTATTTTTAATTAATTTATACCCGTACATAAAGATTCAAACAAATAATGTTTTTTCTTAATTTTTACGCGTAGTATTCTTCTAGAAATTTATTCAAAAGTTCTGTCTTTCATTTTCATTTTTATTTAACTAACTGTTAATTAAAAATATTCTTTTTTTATTTTTCCAGAAAAGTTTCTGATTTATTCGTATCATGAAACATATTTTTCCAGAAAAGTTTCTGATTTATTCGTATCATGAAACATATTTTTCC